TTCCCATTTACCCCTCTCCGATAGCTCCACTTTCAACGAAGTTATGGAGGTTCAAATGAGGGGCACTTTTCACGTGTTTGGCTTGAAATTGGCTCCAGGCCGTAAAATAGCGCGCACCAATGAGCTCGTATGAGCGCACTGCCCGCGAACAGCCAAAATTCAAAAGTAATCCATAGTTCCGATTCCAGGTGGCCTGGTGAGTTTTTTTTCTTATCCATTTGATTGTGAATTATTTTGATTGTTTGTTTTTGTTGAGTCTGATTTTGTTTTGTTGAGTTTGAATTGGTTGTGAGGAAATTGCTCAGGACTCGATTTCTATGGTTTCATAGGTAGCTTTTGCAATGGATTCCTTTCTAGATTTTGCGGTCAGTGGGTTGGGATTTATCTAGACCAGATGAGGAGAGTTGGTGGGTAGAGTGTCTTGAAGTTTTTTTGGGAGGAAGGAGGAAAAAGTTTCAGCAATATTTTTTTGTTCTTGGCCTAGGAATAGTTCGATAGTGCCGGGTTCTATTTATTGGCATCTACATCGTCCCTTTTGAGCTTCTTTTCACTTGTACCGTATATCACCGCTCTCTCCACTCAACATGGGCCATGCGCTTACGACCCCCCCCCCGTTGTGATGATCACAAAGATGGCGTGCTCTGCTCACACGTCACTTTCCTGCTAAACGCGATAGTCATCAGCGTGTTGAATTCGTATTACTAGAGCCTAGATCCTACGGCGCTTTATGGCTGCCTAATTTTGAAAGTTGAACTGCGTATAAGAGAAGTGTACAAGTGTTCCCTTCCACCAGCATAATGCTAGACCACTCCTTGGCCACAGGAATCTTTTCAGGACATTCGAATACAACAACAGCTGACTGAAAGCTACTATGGAACTCACCAGTTATAGTATAAAACATGCATAAGCTTAGTGGTGTACTTCTGCACGTTCCTCACTTCATATTTGTGTAAGATTGTGCGTCGAGAAAGATGGTACAGTTCGATGAGCTTGAAGGAGTACGTCGCTCCGGCTTGGTCGTCTGTGTGAAAGCCAATTCAAGGAGCTTAGACGAAAGAATAGAAGAATTGGTAGAAGAGTCATGTGGATAAAAACATTCCCTAATGTGCTTTAAATCTCTGCATTCTGTGCTCAATGAAATAGGAAAGGAAAACAACTAACCGATGAACATTGACAACACGCCAACGTTATTCGGTAATCGAGGAACAATCTTACACACGTCCCCTCCACTTCCAATCATCACGACGTTATCATACTTGGAAAGCTCTTGTATCCTGTGCAGAAGTAGCTTGTCGTAATTAGTGCTCTGTTCACTGGGAAGCCGGGCATTCTGAAACAAATCAGCATAACAAAAATCATGTTTTGGAGTGAAGTTCCAAGCTCATGTTGGAAACGGTTCGCTTTCCTGGATTCTACAAGGGTGTTGCGTTGTATTTGTATTCTTGATTTAGAATCGCCTTAAGAGGTAACTCGCCAGTTTCAGATAAACGATCAAGTGAACACTGTATCGGTAAAAGAGGGCTGGTTAGCAGCAAGGTCTACGAACAACTCCATTTCACTTACTTTGAACGCGTCGAATTTGTGTTTGTGCTCTCTCTCGTCCGCCTAGCACTCCATGATCAAAGTGACTCGCACATGCCAGCTTTTCACGTACATATGATGACAGGCTCACCCACACGTTTCTTGGTTTCGCAACAGGACCACGCCCAAAAGTTCAGGATGTCATGTGAACGAGCAGCAGTGACTTGGCTGCTGCTCTGTTTCTGCGACTGCCTATCAAGGTCAGAACGTCAGAGGTTACGAAATAGAGGATTTCTCAATAATTTTCTTCTGTGGGAGTTCATTATAAAAAGGAATGATGGATAGAAATCACCAGTCAATCACGCGCCAGGTGCTCCTCCTTCTGAGTTTGTGTGGCCCATGTACGCTACTTGGAGGGCGGCCTTCTTGATCTGAAGACCTCCAATATCGAGCAGCTCTGACGATGTCGCTTTTTTCAGGATATCGTGTTCTCTGCAAGGCCCGCGTTGATGGGCCGGAAGTTCCTGGAATGAGGAGACAGATATTGCCTTCGTGGACCCCGGACTCAGAGTGAACGCTGGCTTTTACATCAAAGCTCTAGGACAATATAGTGCCTTCGGCTCATTGCCAGTACTGTAGTGGAAACTTTGGAGTGCTACAGGATTGGGTGCCAGCACATGGAATCGAAAATACTCACTTGGAATCGAAGGGCGTTGAGTAGCTTAAAAAGGCGGAAAATCTAGGTGTGCTACCTTAGTTGAACTCCTGCGACTATCGCGCTTGAACGGGGCTCAACAGGGTGGTTCACAGTGGCGGACAAATCACAGACCTCGCTAAACTCAGGCACCGAGTCACAGTCGCGTGGTAGAATCCCTCGATGGCGTTCGTCCAGAAGGCTTTGGTGGAGTTTCGTTGGTGTACAATGTTTTGTTGAAGTTCATGGTGGAAATGTCCAATCAGAGTATAGTGTATTTATTTCGCTTTGAAGTTCGAGAGGAAAAAGTGTCTTTCTAGCCTCTCCTTGTATATTGTTGATTGCTTCTCACTGAAATTAACATGACTCGAAAAAAAGTCTGAATATGTTGCGAACCTTTGGGACACCTAAACGTGCCAAGAAAAGGATTTTCAATTCCAACATGACTGGAAGCATACCGATGCTCTTTCACTCGTATACACTCAAACCGAGTTAACAAATAGGAATGAGACCAACTGAACTGCAAATTTGTTTCAAACAACAATTTTGAGAAAGCTCCGAGAAGTTACAGCTTCCTTCTACTAAAGAACGCTACTAAAAAGCTTCATCTTTTGATCTAAGAGTAGGCTCATATTTCCCAGCTGTGCGTATGTGTGTTATGTTATAAATAAACCTGTGGGATCTCCCGGCTGACGCCCAGCTCTCCTCCTTCTCTTTGACTCGGCTTCGCCTAGCGCATCATAATAGAATTGGAATAGTTATATGACTGAGCTGCTAATGATTAATTAATTAAGTTAATTGACTGAGCTGCTCAAATTACGCGGTACTGATCGAGTTATAGTAGATGGAGCAACCTAGCGGAATCTGCACTCCCAAGTCCACGTATAAAATTGCAGGAGTGGGGGTTGGGCCATAACGCCCATGCTATACGTTGACCTGAGATGTAGATAGAAAGTACAGTAAGCCAGCGTGCAATATCAATATGTAGATGAGCAAATTCTGGTTTCATTACCTGCATCCCAGCTCCCACGATTAGTGCTTAAATTTCCATTAACATGTGGCTTAAAGGCACATTCCGCGATAAAAAAAAAGCCTATGACCTCTCAAATGTGTCGGACGATCCGGAAGGCGATTTTTGAGGCTGCGCTACTTTCAAAGTGTGAAAAACGGCAAGAACTCCGCTAGAAGCTGACTAATTAGGCCCATAGACACCCCTTAGGCCCATGCCGACCCTCACCGGCTGCTAGCTACTAGCTAGTAACCACTACGTTATCTTTCTCTATAACATTTCGGACTGCTTTTTCTGCTGCTTTTCTCCACTAATCAGATACTTAGCACTTTTTTAAGCCTATTTGAGTTCCGTTTCCCGCAATTCGCGGTCGCGAACTGTACCTTTAAGTCTTATAAATGACTACAGATGCCAATATTCGAGCCGCGTTGGTTGATTTGTGAGACTACCTTATTATTCGTTTTCATCAGTGATTAAAAGTTAAAAAGTGAAAAAATGTCACTGTACGCACAAGGTGTGTTGCATCATTCAGACATAATTCAGATCTTCATTTCTCCAGAACTTCCTCTTGCAGGTAATACATACATCGTCCCCCGGCTCCCGCTCGTCGCATTCACGAGTATCTTACCTGTATACTGCATGGAGTGTAAATGCTCGTTGGACGACAACGGTGATGTTCCTTATCAGCCCCTATCATATGTTTCACTTTCTGTCACCCACCCTAGACGTCCCCACCTCGCTTGCCACATATGCTGAGAGACGCCTAGCTGATGCTGTGCAGCGTCATGTATGTGGTTACCTTCCCATTCCGAATTTCATTATCAGATTTTACCAGTAGATCTTGACACCCACCAATAATATTCCTGTGCCATAGCCTATATCGTGCCTTGGAACAGATGTCCCAGCTTACTGTGACGGGCTATGGACTCTCCCCTTCTGACCCTTACAACTGAGAAGGTCACTATGAATTTCGTGTGATCGCGTCCTCGGAAATTGATTTTGGATATCAAAGAAAGCTACGGTCTTGTAGTCGAAGGTGTCTGAACTACGCGTTTCAAAACGTTTAAAATCCTTCAAGGTGTAATTTCTAACTGTGATTTATTGTGTCTAACAGCACTAATTTTCATTTGTCAACAGGAGGCGTCACACATTGTTTTCATTATAATTCGGAGTCAAGGAAAAGAGGAAAACCTTCTGGGAATTTCGAATAAGCTTATTGCAGATATTCATCTACACAGAACCGGTGCGCAGCGCTTCGAAACGATGGTGTTAGTGCAAAGAAATGATGTTGAAAATGCGATTGTCCAAAAATAGAATAAGCTCGTGGAGCCCATAATACGTCCTCATAATACCCCGGAAATTCGTTGCGTCTGTTTGTGCATCTTTGTGTTTTTGTTCAAAGCGTGGTTCACTACATTTGAAACGTTAAGAACTTGACATCAGTCTATGATAACTAAGCGTAATTAGATTCACCATGATCCCTCGAAAATACCGGAACCATCTTGAAATGTGTACTAGTGCATAGAGCCCAGTAGAAAGGTGTTGCTGGCTTGCGCCTTCGGCAATCTTCATTTAATCCCCCCCTAGCTGTTGTTTAGCGATATTCTGTGAATTCTCAGTACATTTTTGATTTTCAGGACCTTTTGCCGGAGTCTGAAAGACTGTCGAAAAGCGATGGTCGACAGCAAGGAAATGCATTCACTAGAGCCTTCAATCTACATTGGTCAATCTCCAAGTAAATCATTTCTTTCTTTCAGGTTTGTTCAGGTTCCAGAATCAGGCCATTTGCAAATTTCCGCTCAAAACAACAGTAAATTTCGGCTCAAAACAACAGTTTGCTAATTTGAACGGATTAAGTCTTGTTATGAAGAGATGTAGAGGAGGAGCCTTAAATAGAATGTTTTGATAGAAGACACACAAACAAACCACAGCTAAAGGTATCATCAATCTCTTCAACGATTCATTCAATGTCTTCTGGCTCCCCAAAACTTCTGATCCTGCGCTACTTCGCTCTTAACAACTATTCTTACTCTTTTGCAGCAAAAAATGATTCGAACTCGAGCTTATAACGCAGAGTTTAACGCACCAGATTGCCAGAGCATTTCTTGATCAGAGCTGTTCCAGGAATTGGGATCTTTTGTTATGATCTCCTGAAATGACTCGATGAAAATATTCTAACACACCTACACCTAAAACAGATTGGCCGAATGAGCAATAACGTTGAGAGTTCTCACCTTGGACATACTTGAGAGTGAGTGCTTAGATTTTTTTGACAGTGCTGTAGGAATAAGAAGGCAGTGTGATCACTCGCTTCCTCTTGACGTTGTATAGGAGAAGAAGCAAGACGACGAGCACAATAAACAGGAATGCGATAACGGCTATCGCTCCGAGGATAATCGACAGATACTTCAATCCACGGTGTTGTTTGATTTCTACCGAAGGCGCGACATTAGTGCTCTTATTCGAACCTTTGTATCCTGCAATATATAGATAAAAAAATAAATTCAAAATATAAATAAACCAGTCGGAACAACCGGCTGTCGCCAGGTGCTCCTCCTTCGCTTTCGAGGCCCGGCTTCGCCGGGCCGATCTGGCCTCGCCAAGCACTCTTCCCTTGGGAGAAGTAGAGTGCACTAAATAAGCAAAATGGTGGCAGTTATTTTTCGTTAAAATGTGGGGCAATAAGTTGGAAAAAGCTCAACATCGGTCATCATCTGCCGACATCTGGTCTCCCCCCTTGCCTACTGCAAACTTTTAACGGTGAGAAGGCCCATATCACTAAGAACCGCAGTTGCGACATACAATGGGAAAAATTGAATTAGTCCGGATAAGTCCTATTAAGTTGGGGTTAAGTTAAAGTTTTGTCACGCTTGTTCGAACTCAAAATACTTGTCCACTATCTGAAGAGGGGTAACCGGTAGTGTGAGCACTTATACAATAAGGAGGGTTTTCCTGTTAGCACCACTCGCTTGACTCCTGCTGCTTCTTCTTCTGTAATATGGACAAGGATTTTATCCACTACCATCGGCACCAAGCCCTCCAAGCGCTTCCTCAAACTCTTTCTTCCACCATCCTGACGCCAGCATGATAGCTGCAGATGCAAAAATAAAGGAACTGAATGAAGACGATGCCTTCAATTACCGGACAATGCACTACGCTAAAGTTTCAAAGCGGGAGCCAGTTTTGATGACGAAGTGAGGTTTGGGTTACCTGTGAACTCAGACTGAGAGAGCTGCGCGTCGCGAAAGCGCTAGATGAAGAAGCTACTTCCTTGGTCAATGCGTACGCAAAGCAACTTTGAGATCTGAAGCGTACCGCGGATCAGATGGAAAAATTTGTTCGCACAGCCCGCTCTCATCATGATAGTGCTGCGCACTCCGTCCAAAAAAGTTCGAGCCGTACCTCAAGCAATAGAGCTGGATGGCTCTCCCCTTGCACTGGTGTAGCACAGACATTGCTCCTTCAATTTGCAGGTTGCCTTCTGTACCCAACCCTTATGTGGACGAGAAAACCTCCATAACCCGAGTTCAAGTCAAGAATGAGATGAAGTCCAACTTTGCGTTGCTCCGAACTGCATTGTGAATCGATGACATCCACGAGGTGCTCAAAAACTGGCAAGGACCCCGCAGTAACAATGCTGCACAATTTTGAACTTATTCGCCTTTCTATAAAAAGAAAGCCTAATCTGAAAAATGTGACAGAACTTTCCCGCCAACCTAATACACATTAAAGCATGTGTCTTGTACGGAGACTCGATACAGGGGGTGGGGCAAAAAAGAGTCACTTTCCTTCATTGGCTTTGAAGGCGCTATAAGTTACACTTTATTGATTCTAATCGGATATTTCTACCACCATATTAAAGAGCACATTAAATACTATTATAACTCTCCGCCATAGCCTTCTGGAGGAGCGCCATCCATCAAGGGATTCTGGCACGCGACCGCGATGTGGTGCCTGAGATCAGCGAGATAGTCGATTTCTCCGCCACCATAGACCACCCTAAACTCTGCCTGAACCGGGTAATTGAGGGGATTCAGGTAAGGTGACCTACTTGGATATTCCATCTTTTCTAGGTACTGAGCCTCCTTCCATTCCAAATAGGCGAGGGTTTCTCCAATGCCCTTCGATTCCATGTTGTGGCACCCAATGCTGTAGCAGTACAAAGTTTTCAAGAAGGTACAGGCGACGACATGTGAACAGGATACTCATCTTCAGTCCGGGTCTACGAAAAATATTGGTTTTCCGTTCCAAGTACCTTCGGCCCATACCATCAACCCGCGCCTTGGCGACTGCAGTGAATATGATGTCCTAGACCGTAGCGACGTTGTCGGAGCTGTTCGTTGGAGGTGATCCAGATCGAGAGTACTGGTCTCCAGGTAGCTATCTGATGGATGGATCATACTAGAAGTTTCGCAGCTGTTTGGAGGTGACGTGAAATCCAAACGTGTTCTCCAGTCCGGCTGCGACTGGAGATGACTTCATATTGTGGTGTACATGAAGGTGATGGGCGAGAGCCAGAAGTTTCAGAATGGCCTCAGTTCCTCTTGGCGACATCAACACTCAACCCAACTCGAAGATCGTCTTCAACGCGCCGTACGACGACAAGCTAGCTCCTGCTTATCGAGAAACCTCTTGGGTATCTTCCGACCTGGTACTCGTATTCACGTCTTCTGTCTGGGCTGCGAAATTTTTGCTGATATATGACTCGATCGAAGTGACTTTTTTCGACCCACCCCCTGTATTACCACCGACAGGACGTCCCACTCTTAATTGCTGGGTCCCCTTCTTATTTTGCCGTTTCCGTTGCGACCGCCACCTCCTAACACATCACATAGCAGGCAGATTTGCAAAAAAATTTTTGACTGATGAATTTCCCGATTTTCCCGTTTCAGCTACATACCCCCCCCCTTCCCGCTCGACATCATTTCACGCATCTAATAGCAAACACTCCCATGGATGGACAATGGACGACCTGAATTCGTTGACATCGACACTGAAGGATTGAGCTCACATACTGAGCCTCTAATACTCGGCATTAAAGCGGTAAGGATTGATAAAAATTTCGCTTGGTATCTAAATCGTTTTTGTCGATTGATAAGATTACCTATCACCCGTCATCAATGTCCTCACCACTAAATCTCTATGATTTGGTAGCGTGAACCACCTCGAATGGAGACGACGACTGCAACTTCCTTTATCGGCCCCTATCAGTAGTTATCGCTCCCAGTCACCCACGGTTGATGTCCCCATCTCACCTATATCACTTGCTAAAAAGTATGCCTCGCTGATGCTGTGACCTGGGCTGTGAATACGATGACTTCAACTTCCTAACGCCCCTTATCGAATCTTATCAGCAGCAGTTTCTGTGACCCACCAATGATGTTCTTGGCCCATACCCTAGATCATATCTTGGGATCAAGAGCTGGCTGTTGCTGTCACCCGGGTTATGGATATGATGGCCTCTCACTTTTAACGCCTCTATCAGATTTTATCAACTGATATCACTTCCTGTCACCCACCAATATGTCCGATGTCCGATGTGATGTACGGGGTGTTCCCGTCACACCCTGTACATCACATCTTGGAATCAATGTCTCACTGCTACTGGGACCGGCTGAATTTCGTGACAAACAGGCGGACGCGCGCACACACACACACACACACACACACACACACACACACACACCACATCAATACACACACACACACACACACACACACACACACACACGACACACACACACCACACACACACACACACACACACACACACACACACACACACACACACACACACACACACACACACACAGACATACTTAGCGAATTATATATGGCTAGGATAGATAAAGAGAATATAAACATGTAGGTAAGTAAATGAGATGAATCAGATAAATAAATAACTAAATAAATAAACAAATAAATAAATAGATAAAATAAGTAAATAAACAAACAAATAAATAAATGAATAAATAAATGTAAAGTATATTTATATATATACAACAGCTGATGCAATAATGTAATGTTATATTTATGTTCGTCTTTTGCCAAACTGAAGCTTCCATACAAAACAATATTACAGACGTTTTATCATCGTCGCCGATGATGCCCTTCCACCCCAATCTTCGGGACCAGAGATGCAGCAATGCAAGTAGACAAACTCTTTACTCGCTTGCCGCTCATGCTCCAATAAGGGCTGCCCTCGCTCTCGCTCTCTTCCAAAAGTCCACTGAACCACCGACTTATTCGAAAAGCACCAATGCACGCTCAGTCTCGCGCACCCACAAAATTCGGGATTACGAGCCTAAATAAGCCAGTCCCGTCTTTAAGCGTATCAGCTTCGGGTCCGGGAGAAAAGACTAGCTCTTGGAGCGGACTGTTATTTGGTCAAATTCAAATCATCACAATTCATGAGTCTCCCATAGTAAGTACCTGGAGCAACCTTCCTGCATGTTAAAGCAGCCTAAGTCTGCCGTACCAGGAAAAAACCCGCTGATATTTTAGCTTAGTGCACTGCGAAGCATAATCATAGTTCCACCCATGAATCTCACAAAAATCCCGTCTTTCCAGAAATGCTCCCAATGTAGTAATCACCAATACAATTTGTATGCCAACATCGAGCTCTGGCTTGAAAAAAAAATTTTTTCGTTAATTTTTTTCAAATATGGTCGTTCTGACAATGCAGGAAAGTATCGTTCCACCGCATGTTTTACCGATGCATCTAATTTTTCTTATCTGAAAGTTCCCATCACTATGACTCCTTACCTCTTCTCGGCTACGGCTAGGGGAACTTCATAAATGGACCTCGAAAAAGGAGAGATTTCCGCAAAGATGACTCAAAAACTGGTGACTCGTCGAAAGGCGCGGGATACGGGCAGCACTCGTCATGCTATCTCAACAATTTCCCAAGCGACCTACAAGATATTGAGCTGAGAAGAGCTCTGGACATCCTCCTTTGCTGCCCGATCGGTATAACCGGCGTATCCTTATAGAAGCATCCAACTCTGCAGTGTTGTGTCGGGAAATACATCTCCGCAGGTCAATGTCTCGGAGGATAGTGTTAGGCGTCTCTTGAAAAATTACCGAGTTCACTCATAGGGGGAATATAAGTTACGTACTGTTTCCAACGAAAAACCATCGCGAAAACCTAACTCGCTTTGCTCGATGTTGCCGAATCCAATGGAGCGAGGTTAGCTTTTGGCTGCGGTGCCCTACTGCTTGTCTGTTTTGTTTTTTCAGTTTT